CAAACGACTGACCCATCAAGCTAAAAACCGTCTTCGTGTTGACCTGGAGGATACCAAAGGAAAGACYGCGTATGCCGAGTACGATTACTTTGCTGTGGCCAGTGAACGAGCCAAGTAYAAGCTGAGTTTGGGCTCCTACAAAGGTATGGACGAACTATTTTTTGGTGTAGTTTTATTGATTTTTCATTTTCTTCTTTGAATTTTTTCCCCATCCCATTTAAGGTTTTCCCTCTGCCTTTCAATGGTTTCTATATTTTTCATGTTTTTTTATATTGTTTTCTTGACGATTTTTCCTGGAATTTTACCTATTGTGAAACCGAATACAGTGGCAGATCTAGAACATTACACTAGAGGAGTGTGTCTAGCCAGGATATATTTAGGGCTTCGGAAAATGAAATTTCTTTAAAATGGACATTGCTTTTATATGTTCAGAATAAGTCCCATTCAGATTTCTTACTTTTATTATTTTGAACCCTAAAAAGTGTGGGATGACTAGCTATCTTAACTCCCACGCCATTGGAATAAAACGACGAAAACCACTTGTCTCTTTTTCTTTTTTGCGCTTCATATTCTCTATGAATTTTTAATGCAAAAAAGGAAAATAAAGTCGGAGCTACAATGTACAGTCAGTCGTTTGGCTTGATAGAAATGTGCTGTACACATGTCGTAAATAATATTGATGGATTACAGTGGATTATAGAAAACTAATGAAATAGACTTCCTTTTTCCCATTTCCTTCATTCATTTTATTTCATGTTTGAATAGTTATGAATCTTCTAGATTCTAGAAATTAAAGTATCTGAGATTTGTTCACCCAGGTACTGCAGGCGATTCATTGTCCTACCATCGTGGTATGGCTTTCTCCACCAAAGATCGTGATAATGATAAGTACGGTGGTAACTGTGCAGTAGTGTACAAGGGTGCCTGGTGGTTTAGCGACTGCCACCGCTCCAACCTTAATGGTCTGTACCACCACGGTAAGCACAAGTCCACTGCTGACGGTGTGAACTGGTATACCTGGAAGAAGTCATGGCATTATTCCGCTAAGAGAGCTGAGATGAAGATAAGACCAGTGTAATCATTGCCAGTCTGTTGTACCAACTGAGCACAAAATAAACATGATTTGAAAACTCTTCTTGTTTTAATAATTGTGCATAATATCAAACAAGCACGATATTCGCGGTCTGAAGGTGAATATTTACATGTCAATTATTCTTTATTCGTGTCTTATTTTTCTCCATTATTCGTTGTATATGTTTTTTCTATTATTCAATGATTATTCTTTATGATAGTTTTGATTTCATTATTCATTATTCCTTATAAGTTTTATTGAAATATTCATTATTCCCAGTAAATTTTGAACCGTTATTCATTATTCAATATTCACCTTTCCGACTCAGACCATATGATTCTTTTTTTCAAAAAGTCTAAGTTAAGAATGCTTCAAGTATTGGACATAGAAGAATGAGAAAAAATAATTAAGTAGCAAGTCAGGATCAGTGACACACAAACACCATTTCAGTAGAGTTCACATACAGTACAGAACATCTACATACACGTAGCGTCCATGCTGGATGAAAGATGGATGAATTTCTTTCCTTTCAAACACCCTGGAAATTTCTGATTCTTAATAATATATATATGTAACAATATATTAGCCCTTTTATATCTAATATCCCTTTTTAAAAAATGAGCATGCGCACGAGCGTATTTTTTCGGTACCAGGCTATGCTTATGCCTATGCAGTCCCGTTCTCACTGAGCATAAACATGAGATAAGTATGAGATATACCAAAGAAGATCAAGCCTTGCTCGTTTTTCTTGAGCCCGTTCTCACTGGCGCATATGACTCTCGTCCTTCGTGCTTATGCCTATGCTTATGCGCTAGTGAAACCCACGCTGTAGCGTCCATGCTGGATGACAGATGGATGAATTTCTTTCCCTCATTTCAAACACCTTGGAACTTAATTCTTAATAATATATATGTAAGAATATGTTAGCCCTTTTATATCTAATATGCCTTCTAAAAAATGAGGCAAGCGAGAATAATTTCAGTGATAGCGATTGAATACTAAAACCCGTGAACATCGTATCAACAATAGCGGACCAGCATTTACCGCACAATCATCCCTTCCTAGAAAAACAATAAAATTCGTTGGTAATTTCACTGAATGACTATATTAATCAAGCTTGGATGTTGTAGACAATCATGATGAAAAATAAAATGATAATTCAGAAGAGCTGAAGGTTGGAGTGCTTATGCAGTGTGCGTGATAGAAACGAGTAACGATATGATTCGCGCGGTAAGAATTAAAACTTTTGCGCGTGCAACTACGCTGACTTGACGAGCGCAAAAACCTACCCAAATGCAACCTGTCTCCTTCACGACTAAAAGTTTCTTACATAGAAAGTATAAGTCTTTAGATTTCTATTTTATTTAACGAATACAATTAATAGAACGAGAATATTAACTTAGCTAAGAACCACTCGAACAGGTGCAGGCTTCAAATTTCAGAGAAAATTGGAGTTATAAATCTATTATCTAAATTTGATGATGCCAATGATGTGGTCTAGCAAATTTAAACTGTGTTTTATCAAGAGAACTCTTAAATTTACGCCTTCCA